TAGCAGGATTGAAATAAACATACATGAGAATATGTCTGAGTGAAGTAATACCCAAGTGCTATTAACTACTCCATTCTACAACATGCCATGGGACAACTTTGAACTTCATCATTATCAGTGTTCCATTAGTATATTTTTATCAGTTGATGTCAGGGTACCTTCATTTATAAATAGACTTCTTACCTATTGGGGAGAACTTAGAGACAGTTAGGACTTAATTCACTCATGTAGGCATCACCCTGAAATTTGGTTAATCATTGTTAAATGCAATCTTAAATTGAATAAAGTTAAATTTGAAAACAAGAACTTTTCAAGGCTCAGCCAGTTTCAGCCAGCTTTGAGACCATGTAAATTTCCAGGGGAACACGGTCAGCAGGCCGTCTGTGGCCAGTGTCCCCCAGTGAGACCCAAGGGCCCCGCATTCCAGCAGCATGTTCCAGTTAAACCTCTAATGTCACAAACCAGTGCAATTTCCAGCCCTAAAATCCTCCAACTTTTATAATTGTTCTATAAATCTTGATGATGTCTGAGACACATAAATGGAAGTTGAGCTTTATTGATTGATTGTCGTCATCTTTTTTGTTGAACTCCTTTTGTGTGTTTTCTGTCTTGTCCAATTAATAGGAGAATTCAGAATTTTCCATTTGTGATCTCAGTTAATCCAATGCAAATACCCCTCTGATATTAATTCTTTCATCCTGATATGTTTGGATTCTTTATACCACCCAAATGACATCATCATCATTGTGTTTATATATATATATATTCATTAGACAATTGTTTTGTGAAATAAAAATCAGTCTCTGCTTAGAAAAATGAAAAAGTAACAAGAGCAACATTAACAAAAGCAGGATTAATAAGGCCATAGAAATATCTGCTGTGAGCAAAACTTTATTGTCAACATTTTCTTACGGAGCCCAGAAGCTGTGTCAGTCTTTTTTTGCTTTCCCTGCTGACCTTTTGGAAAATTTTCTTCCACTGATGGAATTGTCATTCTGTCACAGCAAAAGACAACAGAGTAATGTAAAATGGTGATTGGCAAAGCAAGGACTTGGGCTGGCCTGTCTGCAGTAGTTTCAGTAAATTCCTCGTCCCCTCTAAAGGGAATTGAGTATTACTTAAGACTTTGAAATTGCTTTAGCACATTTCAGAACTATCTGGCTAGATAGTCAACATAACACAGTAAGTGAATAATTATAAATATACTTCATTGATTCATTTAAAAAAAAAAAAAGCATAAAATCATTGCACCCTTAAAGTCTTTTTTTTTTTTTTTTTTTTTTTGGCTTGGTATATATATTTTATTCAGTTTAGTGTGACCAAGTAGAGAGGTATAGATGGTTGTGTTTAATGCATTAATTAAGCGCTTTCTCTCTTCATAATATAATGCCTGAGGGCCTCCCCGGTGGCGCAGCGGTTGAGCGCTGGGTTGCGAAGCTGCCCGCGGCCTCTCCGGCGCCGGTTCGATCCCCGGCTGCTCCCCAGCCACCAGAGGAGGGTCCCACATGGCGCGCAGACCTCTCCTGCCGCCCGCTGCTCCCCTCAGCAGTGTACTTGGGTCCTCCTGCCTGCTCTGCTCCCTGCTCTGGCTCTGGTGAATTCTGTCACCCTCCCGTGCTCCTGACTGTACCCAGTGCATGTATAAACAAACAAACAAACAAACAAATAAATAAATAAAACAAAAAAAAACATGCGTCTATAAAAAAAAATGTAAAATGCCATTTAAAAAAAAAATATATATATATATATATGATGCCTGAAAGTTTTCTTGAAGGTAGCCAAACTTGAGCTAAATCCAAGTTCAGTAACTTCCCACAAGTGTGACCTTGGCAGTTTATTTCATCGCTCAGTATCTTAAGTGTTTACACCAATAAGTGAAAGAAGTAAGACTGTGAGCACACCTGGCGGGGTCACCGGAACGGGCTGCCTGCGAGCAGCGTCAGGCCTGACACACAGGAAGCTGACAACATCACTGGGCTTGGGCTGTGCTCCACGGGGAGGCATTTGGCACTCAAGTGTTTCAGTGGATTTTTATAAATAAAAGTGTTAACATTGCAGTTTGAAACAAAATTAGAAAGCTTCTGCCCCCATCTTGAAAAAAGTACTTTCTTCTTAAATAGTATAGGCAGAGATCAGTCAGACTGGAATGAAGGAAGCATCTCCAAGAAGGGTGGATCATGCAGGCCTTCAGCATTTCACTCCTCCCTAATAGGTTGGTGGTGTTCATCTCCTCCCCAGGGCAAGTTCCCTCCAGGGCCTGGACTGCGTTCTTTTCCGTGGGTCTAACCCCCCAGTGAGCCGCTCCCTCTCTGCACTGACACTTGGTTCGCACACACTCTCCTAATGTGACCTAGTCTTGCTTTCCCTCTTCTCTCTTGACCATCCCTTCTCAAGCAATGAGAACATGTCCTCACCAAAGCTGACTTTTGAGGTGTGGGGAGAGAGGAGATCTTCTCTACAACTTGACACAATAGCCTCCATCTGCAACAAGCAAATGGAGATGCAGAAATACTGAGTTAAGATCCTCTGTGATTGAAATATAAAGCAAGAGACACTATCATTTGTTTTTGTTTTTGTTTTGGAGAAAATGTTTTTGTTTTTTTTTTTCTTTGCAAAGGGACTTTTTTTTTTTTTTAGAGATTTATTTATTTATTCATACAAGCACTGGGTATAGTCCAAAGCACAGGAGATTGAGAGAATTCACCAGAGTCAGAGCAGGGAGCAGAACAGGCAGACTGACCAAGTACACTGCTGAGGGGAGCAGTGGGCACGACAGGAGAGGTCTGCGCGCCATGTGGGACCCTCGCCGGTGGCCAGGGATCCAGCCAGCGCTGCAGAGGCTGCGGGCAGCTTTGCAACCCAGCGCTCAACCGCTGTGCCACCAGGGGAGGCCCATTTTTATTTTTTTTACTGTCATTTAAATGCAAATATATGTCCTAGCAAAATATAGATTTGATTCAAGGAAGTGACACCTACATCTGCTTCCTTTACTAAAACAGACATTTGACAAAATATGACATGATGTAATAAATTAATTCTTCAACAGATTTCCTTCATTCCTTCCATCTCTATTCCATCCAACCATCCATCTATCCGTCTGTCCATCCTTATATCCATGGGTGGTTGTTTTAGTGTCAGGTTTCTATGAAAGCCAGACACTAAATTGAATCAAGCAAAAATCTGCTGTCTAGATGCCCGGTGGAGGGCAAAAGTACTTTTTACCCAGCTTAGTCATATTCAGACTTACGGGGCACCAGCCGTGGTGCCACGTTCTCTGCAGCACTGAGCTGATTCTGCAGGATAGGAAGTTTGATGATCTCTTCAGAACTTTTCAGAATCAAGTTTGTCTGTCCAGGGGAACTCTCAGTAAACAGAACTGACCCTATATTTCTGAAGCTGGCCCCCCTCAATGAAACAAGGACAGAACTGGGGTAAAACTAGACTAACTTCTGTGGAAAGACAAAAGACCAAAGATCTCAGAACTGAAGCCAGCTTGGAAGTCTTGCGTGCAACCTGCTGCTGAGTAGGGTCCTGGTACTGGTTCTGTGACAAAGGGACCCCCTGATGACAGGGAGTAGGCAGCCCACTCCATTTGTAAGTTGCTAAAATTCTGAAAAGGGTTTTCCTTATTTTGAGTCAGTATTTGCTTTCTCTTAATACCTACTCATGTGTACTTACCTGTCGACTTTTATAACATGTTATAATGACTTTTGCCTCTTTATGCTTCTCTTGCCCTTTTTCATCCAGATGCACCCTGATCTTTATCCGATCATTCTGAAGCCAGCCATTTATAATTATATATTTCTTCTCATCGTTCCATTAAATGTCATTATGTGAGATAAGATCTGTGACTATAACCAAAGCACCTGACAATTGATATGCACTCAATACATACTAATTTTTGTTTTTAAAATACCCATGTGGACAGCAAAGTACAAAGTCAAATAGGTCCAGATTGAATTGCAGTTCAAGATTTACCTTGCTCTAAGATCTTGGGCTATGTTTTTCACAGTCTCTATGTTCTCAGCCCTTCTAGAGGAAAACAACAATGAAGCTCATTGTACTAAGTTGTTTGAGGATTATCTGTGCTGGTATCCATATAGCACATAGCACCGTTCTGAGCACAGAGTAGGTACTCAGTAAATATCAATCTCCACACACAGCACATCCTTCCTAACTCATCTACCTCTTCCCCAGAATAGTAGTGTAAAGAGAAAATATTTATGCATATCAGCGCCAGCTTTGCCCTTTCTAGTCACACAACCTTGGCTAAATCGCTACTCCTTGTAGCTTCCCTATCAAATAGAGCCACGTCTACTACCAAGATTTGCTGTGAAAGTCAAATAAAATATCAGATGCATAATAACTTTTTTTTTTATTTTTTAAAGATTTATTTATTTATGCATACAAGAGCTGGGGTACAGGCCAGAGATGCGGTGGGGGGGGGGGCGGTGAGAGAATTCACCAGAGACAGAGTGGGGAACAGAACAGGCAGATCCACTGAGATACACTGCTGAAGGGAGCAGCGGGCGAGACAGGAGAGGTCTGCCTCCCCATGTGGGTAGCTCCCTGGCTGGCCGGGGATCAAACTCATGCTGCAGAGGCTGCGGATTGCTTCACAGTGCGGTGCTTAACCCCCTGTGCCATCCGGGAGGCCCCCAGATGCGTAATAACTTCAAACAAAATCAGGGCAAGTTCTCTGAAAGGTCAATGTCATTGTCGGGAGGCATTTATTCGTGAATCATTGCTGCATGAATGAATGATCTATTCTCCAAGCCTCATTCCTCCTCCCACTGGAAAAGGCAAAACAATTCAACAAACTTAGTATTGAAAACCAGTCCCTGTGCACTTACATGCCTGTGGGCAAATGCAGGCAGACACTCTCAGGAGAACATTTGGCAGAAGAGCCAGCGGACTTAATGCTGATGTAAGCACCGCAGGGGCTCAACACCCAGGTCACAGCCGTCCATGACTGACGCTCTTCCTCTCGTTTCTTCCAGGAATTTCTACTATATCACAATGTTGCGGGATCCAGTGTCACGATACCTGAGCGAGTGGAAACACGTCCAGAGGGGGGCCACGTGGAAAACCTCCCTCCACATGTGCGATGGGAGAAGCCCCACACCCGATGAGCTGCCCACCTGCTACCCCGGGGACGACTGGTCTGGGGTCAGCTTGCGGGAGTTCATGGACTGCGCCTACAACCTGGCCAACAACCGCCAGGTGCGCATGCTGGCGGACCTCAGCCTGGTGGGCTGCTACAACCTGACTTTCATGAATGAGAGTGAACGGAACACCATCTTGTTGCAGAGCGCGAAAAACAATCTGAAGAACATGGCCTTCTTCGGGCTCACGGAATTCCAGAGGAAGACACAGTTTCTCTTCGAGAGGACATTCAACCTCAAGTTCATTTCTCCCTTCACACAGTTCAATATCACACGGGCTTCCAACGTGGAGATCAACGAGGGCGCCCGCCAACGCATCGAGGAACTGAACTTTCTGGACATGCAGCTGTATGAGTATGCGAAGGACCTCTTCCAGCAGCGCTACCACCACACCAAGCAGGTGGAGCACCAGAGGGACCGGCAGAAGAGGCGGGAGGAGCGGAGGCTGCAGAGGGAACAGCGGGGCCACCAGTGGCCCAAGGAGGACGGGAGCCCAGAGGGAGCAGTCACTGAGGACTACAACAGCCAGGTGGTGAGATGGTGACCCCCTGGCCTTGCCTCCCTCCAGGGGGGCGGCTGGACAGGCACACCTGTGACCTTGGAGAACGTTGGACCCTTCTGAGGATGCCTTGGTGTATATGGCTGGATTTAGACACCTGCTTTCTCTTTGCCGTCATATTTATCCAGCTGGAGATGATCTATCTTGCTCCTTTCCTCCTGGTATTTTCACTCGGTGATATTAAGTAGACTAGGAGTGCACCCAATATAGACCAGTTTACATGGTCCAGGAAAGAAGCACCCAGAAAGGAGCCCTTGGGATCTCACAGCAGCCTAGGTTATGCTGGGGCGCCTGGACCCCGCAGAGGCACACGTGGAAAGCACACTATGGCTTGGTTGCTCAGCTGGAGCTGGTCTGCTTCATCCTGTCTCTGTAATGGTGGCATGTCATTTAAAGAGAGACAGAGGCCTTTCAGCCTTGGCTGAGGTTTCATATTAACCCTCGCTTAGCTGTTGGTTCTCCCCTTTGAACCGTATTTGAATGTGGTTTAAATCACGAGTATCGTGTTTTGTGTTGAGGATGTTTTTAAGCAAAATCACTTGACTATTGCCCATCAGTACAGGTTGTCATCTGGCAAAGCCCCTGCATCTAGCCCTGAGCTCTGCTCCCCTCATCACTATCTTTCAGGGAACAGCAAGCAGATTTAAGACAAGCAGATTTAAGCCTGAGGCTCCTGAGAAATGAACTTTGGTGAGGGCATTTGGGGAAATCTTGCTTGTTAACTTATGCCTCGGAGGGCACGTTTTACCACTTGTTATTTTCAATGCAAGGAATGAATGACAAATTAAGAGGTGAAAAGCAGGAGGTAAACACTGTCTAACATTCCCAAACCTGCTACAGAACCTTCTTTTGTAAAGGAACCTTAGAGTTTTACCTTTTGGAAACAGTTCTCTGATATATAATCGTCAGTTTTGAAATGTGATCACAGAAGAAAAGGCATTTAGGAAGAATTTGACCAGAAGAATAGGAGCTTCCCTAGCATGTCTACAAAATATATTCTAGGTCCTTAAACAAATAACTCTGGTTTAGGTCAGGAGACATGGAACTCGCTGGGACAGCTCTCCCAGGAGTTTAGAGAGACTCAGTTTCCCAATATCTTGACTCTCTCCTGCTAGAGAGTTTAATTTCTCTCCACCTGGCCTTTCCCTGGTGTTTATGGTGGCTGCAGCCAGTCAATCAGGCTAGAGTGCAGAAAACTCGACCAAAACATGCACTGCATCGTGTCAATGCTGCTTATTTTTTCACCATTCTCCAGTGCAGCTACCAGAAAACCAGGTTTTCAGATAATCAGGGGAGAAGTCAGGAAGAAGGAACGGGAGTCCCTTGCCCAGTATTCAGCAGGAGGATCAGAGTGAGTAGAAAGTTTCACAACAGATTGATTGAATCAATCCCTTTAAGGAAGGATTGAGCAAAATGAGAGAAACCCCTAAATCAGATTGAAAAGCCTATTGCATTGATATCCGACATGTTTGATGTTTAAGCCAGCTTTACATAAGCCACATCTCAGCTTCTGGAATACCCTCTCTGGGGCTGAGAGAATCGGCCCCAGATTCATGCAGGAGCCGCCTGCATGGAGGTGCCTGCCCTGTGTCTCCATCCTAGATCTGGAGAAGCACCTTAGCGCTGGTCTTACTGGCACAGGTTTCATCTGCCACATGCCAGAAGGTGTTATGGGAGATTTCGCTGGTGCCTGGCATGTGGGAGGCCCTTTTCAAGGTAGATATGACCCTTCCCAGTTTCATAGATGAGAAAAGTGAAACCGTCAGACAATCAGCAGCTTCCATCTGCCTGTGGAGCTCTTTTCAGTCCATCGTGTTCTCCATACGGGGTAAAAGCCTCCCGCCAATCATGCAGGAAGACAGCAGTTATTGCCCAGAGGGGTTGATCCATAACCCCGGTGGTGACACAACTGGGACAGCCCCAAGCCAGCAGTGACCCAGGGCAGTCCTGTCCACATCACCAGCCCATCAACAAGCCAAGACACTGCTGACTTTTTAAGCAGTGGGACTTTAGAGCCACTTAGAAGGATGACTTTACCAGGTCAAGTCAATTAGTTGATAGAGATGAGGATCACAAAAATGCTAGTGTTTCCTTTTCTGAAGATTTATTCCCGAGGTAGGGAGAGAAGGAGCATGGCGGCTGAGGTTAAGGAGCAGCTCTCATTCAGTCTTCAGGTTCCAGTGAGGATCTAATGTTCTGCCTACAGTGCATGCCTGCCACCGTGAATCATACATACATGCACATGTGCACACGCACATGAGCACGCAATAACAACCCAGTGCTTTATCATGTGGAAAATCAAAACAAGGAAGAAAGCAATCAGATCATTTCTTTTAAATTCACTGGACATCTTTGTCAGGGTGTGCGTGCCTGGCTGAGTCCTGGAGGCAGCCTCAGCTAACTTCACACAGTTCCTTGGCACCTCGGGATTTCTATCAAAAGGCTTCCACAGCCTTGCTGCTGAAGGTGTGACGTATGGGCTGCACTTGAGACCAGATATCATGATTTTCAGAGTAGAAACCATCTCTTTGTGTTAGCCTGAGGCCAGTGCTGAGCAAATTAAAAAGAACGACACGGCTTTCTTCCCTCATATCGTTTCATTCTAAGAAGCATGCTTGTCATATCCCGGGGTCCTGTGTTGATGGAAATGGAGATGTGGGAACACAGTTTTCTCTCCAAGAATTGATTGCACACCCCTACACTGAGTGAAGGGTGCGAGCAGAAGTCCTCTGGGCTGAGGGCTCCATGGGAGGTCAGCAGCCTTAAGATCCCAAACCAAATCAACTCCAGATTTGTTAGTGTTCAAAGCTCAGAATGAACCACCCCACCCCCAAAACACCAAAAATTCCCCAGGGAGTTCCCCATCCCATTACTCTTACCCCTTGAGTAGACTTTCCTTTCCTTCTTGGGCAGCCCCAATAACCAGCTTGGGCTGAGGTGTCCTTGTGTGTATGTGTATGTGTGTGTGTGTATGTGTATCTGTGCAGGTTTAATTTATTATTAGTGACTAAGAGACAATATTATCTTTTCTCTCTACTTCGAAATTTTCTTGGCAGCCTCCCCTTGGCAACTAGAGATAGAATGATGTGGATAACTTCCAGTAATTGATGACATTAGCAGTCAGTGTTGGCCAACTGTTAAGAATATCATGTATGATATTGAAAAATTATAAAAATGTGTTTCTTAGTACCTAAAGGACATAAGTTTGTCATATATAATTTGATCAGAAGTCTATAATATAAGGACTTATTTCAAAATCTGAGCAGAGATAGTATTAATATACAGAAGAATGTCAGCCAGTCCTTGCAAGGAGTTGAGCACAGATGGTTAAAAAATACAGTCTTTTGAAAGGGATTCCCTTTGGCTCCTTTAACAAAGAAACTCAACAGTGACTTCACTGAGATCGAAGCTCTTGCTCTCTCACTTAAAAGGCAAACTGGTGTGGTATCGCTCTGCTGCCTGAAGTCTCCAGAAAGCAGGTCCTCTCCTTGCCCTGCAGCTTCTACCTCCTGGCCAGAGATGACTGCTGGGTTCCTGCCATCTCATTTACATTTAAGACAGCAGAGAGGAAGTGGAAGGAAGTTGTATGTATCACTTCCAGCCACAGCTCATGGGCCAGTACCTAGGCGTGAGCTACATGTAGCTGCAAAGAACGTCAGGGGGGGTCTTTATCACTGGTTGTCATGTGCCTTGATAAATAGGAGGGCTCTATTATTAAAGAAACAAATGTGAAAATGAATACTGATAATAACGATCAGTCTCTGACACAGAAGGGAATTGAAAAATATTTCAAGTGCTTTTCAGTGTCATTTGTTTCATCCGATGTTTTGCAAAGGATACGATTTAAATTCATAACTTTGTATAGTACTTACTGCTTTTCAAAATATTTGTACATTGATCTCTTACTTGATCGTCCCTACACTCTAGCATATTAAGTAGGATCTCTATTCATTATCTTACTTGATAGTTTGACGTGGAGATTCAGAGATGTTGAAAGATTTCCCAGAGATTCTAGTTTATTAACAAGAAAGTTGCCAGAGCCCCAGTGTCCTTTTCTGTTATTCTGCTCAGCGTAGTGTTGGGACCGCAAATTGCAAGACTATGAAATCTAAATCTTTTTTGATTTCATCTTCCTTTCCCTTCTTCTGGAACTTAGAATACACCAACGGGGCTGGTGGAGTTGTCTCTCCATCCCCTTTTCCAGGGAGGAGGCCTCTTCTGAGGACTGACTGTCCTGAGACACGGAGTGTCGCAGGGAATTCTAGAAACACTGCCCTCATCAGCGCTGGCTGATGTTTACACCACCCAGTCCAGAAACTACTCCAGAGCAAGGCTGAGGGAATGTGCTCACGGCTCCTGAGGGAAGCTGAGTGTTAGAAAAATTTAGAATCAGTTGCAGCCTGAATAGTGACGCTTAAAGGGTGATCAATAGCACCCCTGTTCACAGACTCTGCCCTCCTCTCTACTCCTTCCCCAGGCCCCTGGAACTAGATCAGCAACTTATTACTTTGGTTCTAAAAGGTTATTTTTGGTCTTCAATGAGTCCCTTTGCACATTTGCCAGGGAGGGGACATGCTGTAAGCTGTCATAAGCTAACACCCTCACTCAGAGTTTCTGTGATTCCTTTCTAGCCAGAACCTCTAGCAGAGAAGGAGCTCCCGCACAACGGGGGCCACCCAGAGGTGGGGCATGGGGAGAGTAGGAGCTTCTAAGGGGGAAGCAGATCTTTCAAAGTTGGAAAGATGAGGAATTAAATATGTGCCCGACAACACTGGCAAATCAAAAAATGTCTAATACAGTTTCTGTCCTTAAGAACAAGGGCAGGGCAGGGTGGGGACACATGAACTGCAATTCTTTTGGCCATTGAGAGGAGCAGACTGGAGAATGGGGGGTCATGAGACAGGAGCAGAGTGATGCGGGGGCTGCAGGGGCTGGCGTGAAGGCTGATGGAGACTAAGCTGGGGCAGGCGCAGGAGAAGAAGACAGACCCGATCACACCTGCGTCTGAACGCTTTCCTTTCCCATAGTTTTTGTGCCTCCGGGGTCACCAGAACTCCAACTCCAGCCTGGGGGTGAGGGATTGAAGACTCTGCCCCGTGGGTCTGCCCCGTGGGTCCCCCCAGGGAGCAGGCTGAGCTCCTTTCTCCAAGGCACTTGGGCTTGTGTTACCTCCTCCCTCCATCCCCCACAGACTGAGGCTGCTGTTCCCTCACATCTGGCCCTGGACTCATCTGAACTGCTTCGCTGACCTTCTGAACGAGCTCTTCTGGGCAACCGACCGGGTCCCAAGACTGCAGTGTAATGTAGCCTAATGGGCGGGAAGCTTATGGACCCATCTTCAGGACACATTAGCAGAACCACCAACCTCGCAGAGATGCTGGGATTTCCAGAGGACACGCCTTGCTGTTGCCACCAGCCGCAAAAGTCCCTGCACTTCCAGGCAAGAGAACAGAACTGGGGATGGGAGGCCGTGGCAGCACAGAAGGCTCTTGGGCAGGTGTTCTGTGTTGTGCACGATGGAGACTGTGACTGTCATCCTCTGACACCTCCAGTGGAACTTCTGTGAGTCTCTCGGGCTTCTGCACCGTGGGCACTCAGCAAGGGGCAGGTGTCCGTGCAGAGAAACCTCAGTCCTTGCCAGGGCTTAAAACAGTGCTCTGGGGACACAGAGTTTGTGTGACTTAGTCATGATTACATTTGTCTCCTACCAACTTGTCGCTTCTTTTATCATGTGTTCATCTTCGCTTTCCTTTCCTCCCTACCCCCTCCCTAGAAGTACTTTCTGGGTTTTTGCTTGCATTCATTTTTCACCTGACATATCAAAGATGAAAAATGTTGGAAAGGAAAATCTGGACTTTTATCTAGTGCCCCATTTTAGCTGTAAAGATAGTTATTCAATAGATAGTAAATTATTTCTCCTAAGAGATATTTCCTTTTGTTCCTGTGCAATAATATGTATGAACTTGGGTACTAGGAGATTGTCTTGTGACATTATCAACCTTTATTGCTATTTAAAAATGATAGTTTGTAGAACCGAGGATTTCCATTGATGTGAAGCACAATTTAATGAATAAGTTACCATATTAAACTGTTGTGATGTCAAGAACAATTGTTTTCCCCTGTGCTTTTGTTGGACATTTTTGCAAGATGAAAAAAGTTGGTTAAACACTTTAAGGGATTTATGGAAATTGAATCCATGGGATCAGCTTTGTCAAACTCTAAAAAATCCATGCTTTGGATACTAATGTGGTTATTGGATGTGAGATTATAAAAGCAGCAAAGACAAAGAAAATACAGATTGAAACAATTTAAAATCTCAGAAGCCGGGGAGGATTTCACAGGCTCTCAAACACATAAGCTTCTAAAATCAGGGTCCTCTGTGAAGCCCCGCCTTCCTGGACTACCCAGCACATTGGAATTCAGTGTGAAATGTGGAAAAGCAACCTGGAGGCCAGGGGTGAGGGAAAGATTTGAGGCAGTGGTGGGGGAGAGAAGCTGGAATGGAAGCAAAGGAGTTTGGGTTCAATCTAAAAGAAAGGGAAGGATTGGGGGCAGGTGTGAAAGGGAAGAGAGAAGATGAAGAAAAACACAACTTTGAAATAAGCTTCTCTCCACGTCTTCAGTACACTTGGTTTATCAGAGTTGTTTTAATGACTAGTTTCTATATATAAGCAAAGAGAGAAGCAGTGAACTTGTAGCAGGCAAAGTTTCGTCTTTGAAAAATCCTGTCAATGATAGTTTTTCTTTTTGTTCTGCAGAAATGGGAGTTGGGACTCCTTCGTTGCTTGTGGGTTAAGGAGAGGGAGTGTTATAGGGCAGCCCCGATATTGAGCGGGTTGCCTGGCTGTGGGTCCTCACCCGCGCGCTTACAAGGGACTTATTCATACTCCACTACAGGCACACACAAAAGGTTAATAAAAGGTTTATTTACAAGGGAAAAGGAAATAAGGAAAATGTACAACTCAGGGAGAAAATAGGGAAATAAAGTCTTTAATGCGTCCTACCCGATCCGCCGACGTGGAAAACCCAAAGTCACTCTCAGAGCTGGCGGGTCGCTGCGAGCTGACCGAGAGCCAAAATGGGGGACCCCCCCAAAACCCACGTGTCTGCCTTTATACCAACCTGGCTGCTGAACCCCACCCTCAGGTCCCAGCCACCTTCCCTTGGGTGGGGATGGGATGTGGAGTTCCCAGTGTCTTTGGCTTTGGCCTGGGGTAGGGGTGGAGTCCACAAAGCCTGTGTGGAATTAGCTTTAGGACAGCCTTTTCCCCCTAACAGGAGCACTAGAAAAATTTCACGTGACCATATGCTTGGCTCTAGAACTGAAGATCAACCAGAAAAGCTTCCCAAAGATGGAGGTAGTTAAACACAATCACACTTACACACACACACACACACACACACGCACTCTTACATGGGGGCTTTTATGTCTTAAGAAAAATCTCAGGGAAATTAAGGTAAAACTAAGGAAAACTGAAGTTTTACTTCTTTTCTCAATTCATCTTGAAAATAAGATTGAAAAAAAAGAAGGCACAATCATATTGAAATTCTGCTCTCAATTTGGTGCTCTCTTCATCTTACAGGTCAGTATTTATACCAAGTGTAAATTTCAAAACTTCTGGCATTAAGTCCAGCATAATTATTTCTTCTTTTATAAACTATGTTAATTGCTTTTTATAATGCAAAGAAATACATGATCTTAGATCATTTGGAAAATACAAGGTACTTACGTATAGAGACCAACTATGACATTATTTGTACTATTTCTTTTAATATTTGTGTGCATTAGCACCTTAAGTAGAGTTTTAAAAAAATATTTTAGGAATAAAACAACAAGTTCGTTTTTATTTTGTTTTGTTTGCTCTTGCATTGTTCCTTTAACGCCCCTTTCCACTTCTTAATTTCCAGTCTCAGATTTTTATTCTTACATTTATGCTTTTGCATTTATTGTTTTCAAATCTTTATTTCATTGTTCTAATATTTTATCTTTTATCTTAAATCTCACCAATTTCATCTATCTCTTAATGTTTATTCTTTCATTTTTATTGATAGTTTATCTTCATAGTTTCTTTTCTATTGACATTTATTAACCTTTTCTCATAGGTACTTGTAACTGTCCCTTTATTTAGAAACAAAATTTTTTTAGTCCTATTATGTGTATTAACATGTTGGCCTCAAATAATTCTTCCCGCACAATTTCTAATTTCTGAATTTTGGATCCCTTGGGCTTGGTACATGATTGGTTTATTTCAGGGATGCTTGAAAAAAAAATGCATTGCATTATTAAATTATATACATGTGTGTGTCTGTATGCATACAGATGTATAGAGAGATGTAATTATATCCCTATACATCACCACTTAAATTGTAATGCATGTACGTAAATACATGCATCTATATGCCTACTAATACTTAATTTATCAAAGACAGAGTACATGCTAAAATCTCCAATTATAACTGTGTTTGTGTCACTTCATAATAGCTTTAGCTTTTATATTCTGGTGACTTGTTACTTAGTGTTTATGACTTCCATATTCTTTATTGCTGGAGTCACAAGAAATATTTTCAATTAAAAAAAACCCTATGCATCATTTATACTTTGTTTTAAATTTTACTTTCATTTTAATATTATTTTCAGCAATTAATAATTTATAATTATCATGGAGTTGAATTTGTCTTCACATAGTATAAAACCTTTTTCTTTTAACTTGAGAATCACTGATTTATAGATTACTATCTTCTTTTATGATTTCTGCTACTTATGCTTCTTTTGTGTTTTAATGTTGTTTTGATAGCTATGAGGTTTTGAAATTGGTGCTAAGAATGCAACCATATTAACTTGACTTCCGTTGTGTAACTTGAAGATCTTTTCATGTAGATGCTTCCATCATCCTATTTCCAATAATTTATTTTAATTACCTGAAGTAAAAAGCCTGGCTTACAAGTAATCTAGGAGTTTAGATTTACACTGTTGCGGTTGTTTCATTGTTATTATATTATGCTATAATCATAACTATGTCAAAAGGAAATGGGAGAATAAAAATTTAGGCAAATGTTATTCTCATCCTAAGCTGGAAATATTGGGTTGCTTTCAAAGTCAAGGTCCTCACACTGCTGGGAGATGCCTGCTTGTATCTGATCCTTTAAATTATTCAAACTGTTGTTGCATATGAAATAAGAAGACATGAAGATGAAGAGGAAATTAGGATCTCACAGATGGGTGTTCAAAAGCCATAGGGACAGCTAGCTTTCAGGATCTGTCATCAGTTCCTGTGAATAATATGTTTGTTCAAGGAGGAAAAAACATTTAAAGGAGTGAAAATTCAGGATTCTAGAAATGCAACTGTTTTCAGGGTTAATTTATAACTAACTAAACCTATTATAATAGACACAAAAGAGGGAGAGTGAAGTGACCTTTGTAACAGGATTCTTTTTTTTTTTTTTTTCATAGAAGAATATAATCTGAGTAAGAACATTGGCAAACTTGGGCCTCCCCGGTGGCACGAGGGGTTGAGTGCAGCGCTGTGAAGCTATCTGCAGACTCTGCAGCGTGGGTTCGATTCCCAGCCAGCCAGGGAGATTTCTACATGGCACAGCAGATCTCTCCTGTCCTTCCCGCTGCTCCCCTCAGCAGTGTACTTCAGTCCTTCTGTCTGTTCTGCTTCCTGCTCTATCTCTGGTGAATTCTCTCACCCTCCGACACCTCTGGCCTGTACCCCAGCTCTTGTATAAAAATAAATAAATCTAAAAAAAAAAAGAACATTGGCAATCTTAGTATCAGGTAACAATTATTGAAAAAAATAAAGAGAATTTCTTTTCTGGAAA